ACATCATATATATTACCGGTAAATATATACATAAGGTTAACCGGTAACAGCTATTGTTCATTTTAAACACAATATTACAAAATATTCAATTAAATTATTTATATTTATAATTATTATACTTAAATGTAATTATTATGTGATCTATTGTAATATGGAGAACAATTTCCTTAGTCTTACTTCTTTTGTATTAAATTGTATAATTACACTCTGTAAAACTAGTGAGAAAAATAAAAAATAAATTGAAAATTTTTCATTTTTTTAAATAATGCAAGAGAAATATAATTATTTTAACCCTTTGTGGCACAAAATAATGTTAATTTCTTAACCCTTATCTAATAACATAAGTGCTCTAATATTTCTAGCTTCTAATGTATTAAAAAATATAAAATGATATTTTAAGGTATTTTATTTATGATTTTATTGAAATTCCGTTTAGTTTTTATTTTGAGCTCATAATATTATATTTTATTAATAATGCTAGAATATTAAATTTTGCAGTGCATATTCTTAAAAAAATATTCGGAAAATTGACGTTAACCTAAAATGTTCATTAATAGTTTTTCTTTTGATTTTTTTTTTTGTATATGAAAAGCAACAAAAGTTAAAGAAATAGCGCAAAATTAATAATTATAAATATAATTAATAATCGGTCAAACATCCCTTTCCCTCAAATTCACACGCCGGTGATGTCATTATAAATCTAATATTATGTAATTTCCGCGATATAGCCGCTGGGATTCTCCCAAACTTAAGGGAACTCTCATTTGAACGCGTCCATGATATTTCTTTTTTCCAAAATGAGCTTTTAGAAAAGGTTGTATATACTTTTTAGATCATATGAAAATAAAAAATATTCATAAAGTTTTATGGTCAGTTTTTAAATAAAATTTTCGGCTTTGCTTTTCTTTTGTAAAAATTTATATTTTTAATTTGAAGTGGATGTTTAATGAATTAGAATAAAAATATTAAAGACTAAGGTATCTGCGGTGATAAGTGAACATTCCATTTTTTATTCTTTTCGATCCCAATGGGTGATTCATTGCATTAGAATGCTCGTAAACTATGTAAGCAAGCCACAAATTCACAAATATGGGGTATTGATAATTAATGATATTGATTCGGGATAATTTACAGTAATTTATAGGGTATCCGATAAATGAGATAAGGCTTTTTTTTTGTTACTGTGAGAGAACCTTGGTATAGCAAACGTGTTAACAACGATATCGAAATAATTTAGTAACTTCTTAATAATTTTTCATTAAACTATTTTAAAAAATTATTTGAAATTTTTAAATAAATTATTAAATATTGTTGAAATTTTTTATTTTAGTATCAAAATTTTTTTTATTTTATTAATTATAATTATTTTGGAATGGTGTATACCTATACTTGTATGGGATAATTGCATGCCATAAAAATTACAATTGTGCATTGATGTATACATTTTTTTTTTTAATTAAATGATTAGAATGTACGTACATAAAATCAAGTGGAACCATTTTTCTCCTTGATAAAGTAAAATTCACAAATATTTTAAAGGTTTTTAAACTTCATTTCACATTCATTCGAAACTTAAAATATATTCTGCAAATTATTTATACAAGAAACACATTCAAAACCTTCTTGTTTTGTTCCTCTTATCGTAAAAATGTAGTGTCTTTGTTTTATTTTATTTCATTGAATTCTTAATTTTTTTTTATTGAAAGCTTTGTTTCTTAATTTGATTTCGTTTCGTTTTTTTAATTTTTGGCTTATAAATACTACAAGTCAAGGTTACGTATATTGTTTACGAAAAAAAAAATTAATAATAAAATGATCTTATAATGGGAAATTCGAGGTGAAGATAATAAAGTACAAAAAACCAGAACCGAGCAAAAAACAAAAGTATATTGTAGGTTTTGTTAAAAAATTTTTATGATGGTCAAGGTATTTGCGTGCATTGAACGCCTTTATATTTAATCTTAAAGAAAAGAAAATAAAAAAGTAATGAGGAAAAATTTTTGATACAAGTTCATACCGAGAATTTGGTAATTATGTACAAGACAAATTCATTACATACAGCTACAATAACTTTGTAAAGATTTTTAAAATTTAAATTTTGATTGAAAAGGTTTTGGTAAACTTTTACTATAATTGAAGGTAAGAAAATAAAAAAATAGTGTAGTAAAATTACTTTTAAATAATTTTTAAGAGTAATTTAATTCAGGAAATGCTAAAAATGTATAGATAAATATGAGAAAAACTATAAATATGGAAAAAATTTAAATGTGGTTGTAATTTCAAATTTAAATTTAATCTTTTAAATGTACAAATGTTTTAGGTTAATAATTTATATATATTGTTTGAAAGGTATAATAATTGTAGGTAACACATATTTTTAGGTTTTTGGAATTTAGAAATTTTTCAAAAACTTTTATAGCTTTTTCGTAATCAACTCAAATTCAATAAAATTCGAAGCCTTATTGCATATTTCTTGTTCACTAGATATTTTTTTGGTTGTGTTTGTTTCGATTATGAATTATTATTTCGGGAAATAAACGATTGCAATATAATCATATATTATTCATATATGTATTATACTTTTGTTCAGTTTCCATTATTTCTTGGTTTTTTTTTTTAAACATATATGGCATTAAACACTGGTTCCATGAACTATTTAATGCTTTTTCTTATTCTTCTAGTTAGTATGTATATTTTTACAATTAAATCAAAATTGCTTTTTTTTTTTTCATATATAAGATTTTGTAAGAATTTGAATTTAAAAATTTGTATGTATATTATTAATCAAAATTTATATGCTTGTAATTTAGTTTTGTATTTAGTTTTAAGATGATAATTGTATTACTATTGTAACTAGAATGAATAAAGTTTATTTACTTACTTACTTACTTACTTACTAATATGATATTTAAAATATGCTCACGAATTTTAAAACAAAAAAAATGGCACCTTTTAAAAATATTAAACTTATAACAAAGAAATTTTCTTTTTAAAATATTTAAACAACTGTCTGACCACTATTTTAATAATTAAACGTTAATATTGTACATAATCAAAAGCTTGATCAGGTAAAGGCGAGATATATCACATTTTAATATCAACTTCACGCTTATCCTAGGTATGGTCTTTAATGTAAAGAAAAAAATTATCTTTACATTAAAGACCATACCTATTATCACTTTAGATATGTACAACTAAATGATATATAAGGGCACCGCATTCAAACTTAAAAAACAAAAATTTTTTCCGAATTACTTCAATCGAGTCAACTTCGGTATAATTCGTATATTTTTTTCTCAATTCATTTTCCATAATTTCGATGAAATTATTGTTTAGTAAAGTTTTGTAATTAAACGAAAATATTTATAGATTTTGTTAAATTTACTGTATGAAAATTTTAAAAGCATAAAGAGAGAATGAGAGTTTCTCTCTGTACACAGTGATCTTATACTAATCAGGGTAGTGGTCTAAACAATAAAAATTATTCATTTTAAAATTTCAAACATAAAAAATAACACTCAAAATTTTAAAAAAAACATCTCCTTACTATAGGTATACTTAAAATATTAGTATACCTACTTATACGGGATATATGTACCTACATATTTACATAATATTCATATAATTAATTTGTACTTATGTAAATGAAGGCTAATAATGTATTTTCAAGTTTCAATCCAAATTTTTTTGATTTTCTATTTTTGTGGGTTATCTGTCGTACCTAAAAAAAGAAATTACGTATTATTTTTTTATAATTCATAAAATTATTAATTAATTCAGTTTTCTATTCAATTTCTATATACATACATGTATATTTTTTGGTTTATCTACCTAAAATTTAAAAGTTTTATAACCGGTTTACTTTTTCCTATTAAATTTTTATACAATTTTAATTTAGATTCGTTCATTCATTCAATTTTTTTTTTTCAAGTATTTTATTATGTTCTGCTTCCCAAAGTGGTTATCTTCCAGTTTAATTTAATTATAAAATTTCACTTTCTTTTACTCTAACCATAAATAATTTTTCATTTTTTAAAATACCATTGTAATATTTTTAGAGTTCAATTTTTAAAAATGTTTTTTTGTTTTGTTTAATTACTAATTGTCAAGAATTAAATAGATGGTACATTTTTATTACAGAAATTTGACATTTGTGTGCTTTAAGTGAAACTGAAGAAAATAAAAATTTGCCAATTTTCTTACTAGAAATACCGGTTATGTGTTGGAAAATCAATAAATTACGTGAGGAATGAACAAAATTTATATTGCAATTTGGGATGCGATTTATGGGGTCCCATTTTTAATCTTATCTCTTTACTCACTGAATGAGAAGAAAATACATGTAATTTACACTTCAGTTACTGAATGAGAAAATGAACAAGTGAGTTTCACATTTTTTTTTTTTTTTTGAAACACTTTTTGTAATTTTCAAGTGAGAAGAATCTTCCCAAAAAGTGTTTTCAAGGTTCAGTTAGCATTCAGTTGTTTTGTTTTTGAATATAAAGAATTCAGGCGATATTTTAAATTTTTGCATATACATTATGTAAAGAAGTTTGGGTTTTAATGCAACAAATTTCGGGCTTTAATAAAACAAAATTAATCGAAAAACATAAGCGAGAAACTTGTTTTTTGTTTTAAAATATACATAGTTTGTCTATCATCATCTTGTCTCCTTGTTCAATAATACTTATTTTAATTACTGAACACTTTAGAACTGAACTGAAAATATTTTAAAATTAAAATTTTCCAATCAACAAAATATTTTTCTTTAATTAAATTAATGTTAAAATGAATATTTATTTTGATGGCGCTGTAGTCTACTGAAAATATTTTTTTATGTTTTGATGTTTAAAATTCATATAATTTTAATTATGAACGCATTTATTTGATTATATTAAATTTATTTTCATAAATTTTTAGTTTTTAATTTATTATTTATTAATTTTGTTTTGTTTAAATTTAAAAATTTATTTGATAATATAATAATTTTTTAATTATAGTTTAGACGTAGTGTTGCCGATATTTTGAGACCGGAACATGATGATTATTTTCTACTAAGATGGTTAAGAGGTAAAAAAAAAATTATTTTTCAATTGAATGAGCGTAAATTTTCGTATTTTTATATTTTAGTTATCGAAATTTCATTTTCAATTAATTTACAAATTTAATTTTATTAATTTTCAGTAATTATTGTAAATTTAATTTAAACACTTAATTATTTACAATTTAAACTACATTCATATTATATACAAATTTATAAATTGATAATAGCTAAGTAGGTTTTAGTATATTTATTATACAAACAATTACTAATTACTTATATAACAATTACTAATTAGGCATTATTCCTACAATTAGGCATTATTCTTACAATTTCGCTAGAAGTGAATTGTAATTTATTTTTAATGGTAATTGTTAAAATTTGAATTTTTCTCATTTTTCCTCAGAAAACAGTTGTGTGTGCATAAAATATTTAAAAATTTTTCCAAACATTTTTACATTTTCTTTAATTTTCTCTTGAATTTTCACTATACATAAAGCATAATAACAGTTGTAGAAAATTGTCATGCTGAGTCTTAATTTTTATATGGAGATTTTTGAAAATTAATTTACAATTTATATCTTAATATAAATAGATCAAAATTACAAAATCTTCAAATGTAGCATATTCGATAAATCATTCGTACAAAATAATCATTTTAAAAAATCGTAACATGCTTATTACTGTAAAATTATTTTAAATTTGAAAAAAAAAAATCACATAGCCAAATGTAAAACTTCTGTAATGTAAAGATCTGAGAATGTAAACTAATTGGTTTTTAAAATGTAAAAAAATTAATGTAGGTCTGTAAATTTGCCTGTATTCAAATAAAAATTTTTAAGATTTAAGTTAGAATTTCAAATTTATATCTGAATTATCGACAATTTGAAATATACATAAATAATTTGTTTTTTTTTTTATGTTATTTACATACATATTTAAATTCAATCATAGCAAGGAAATGGAATGCGGAAGCAGCTGAGAAAATGTTAAGAGATGTAAGTTTAAATTAGTTTTAAAAAAAATTGTAATTAAATTTAGATGTATAAAGAAATGTATCTTATCTCTTTGTATAGGCTCATAAAAATCGTATTATGTGGGATGTTGATAATCTAGAGAAATGGAATAGACCACAAGTTCTTGTTGATTATTGTCCACATGGATTAACTGGTTTTGATAATGAAGGATCACCAAGTATGTTACAAGTTTAGTAAATATACATTATATGTGTTAAATATATTGGAATTTTATACAAAAGACCTTTAATATTTTTCTTTATATTTATTTTACAGTTGTTATAATTCCATTTGCTGGAATGGATATGTATGGAATGTTACATTGTGTTACAAGATTTGATTTTATGCGATCCACCGTTCTTTATTTAGAGCGTTATATGAAAGTTGCTTTTGAACAAAGTAAAATTTATGGACCACAAGCAAGACAATTTGTTGTTATTTTTGATATGGAACATTTTAATCTTAAACAATATGCATGGAGGCCTGCAGCAGAACTTGTCCTATTTCTAGTCAAAAATTATGAATTAAATTATCCGGAAATATTGAAAATCTGTTATATTATAAATGGTAATAAAATTTTATATTATTAATAATCTAAAACCTTAAAAAAAAATTTTATCTTCTATTAATTTTATTTTCAGCTCCGAAAATATTCTCGGTAGCTTTTAATTTTGTTAAGAAATTCTTGGATGAAAATACTATGAGTAAAATTCAAATACATAAACAAGGTTCTGAAAAATGGCAAAAAAATTTATTTAGTCACTGTGATTCTTCACAAATACCAAAATATTATGGTGGTACATTAACCGATGAAGATGGTGATCCGAAATGTAAATCAAAGGTGAAAATTTTAATAAATATATAAAATATTTATATTTTATTCAATATTAAAAAAAATATTAAATTTCGATACTTGAAATTTTGCAAAATTTAAATTTTTTTTTATATTTTATTAAGATATGTTGGGCTGGTAAAATACCAAAAGAACTTTATAATAAACGTGATGATGATGAACAAAATGATAATGAAAATTTTGTTGATGCTACAATTAATAAAGGTGGAAAAATTAAATTGGAATTTATGACTGAAAATGAAAATGGTACAATTTTAAGATGGGAATTTAGAACATTTGAACATGATATTAAATTTGGAATTCGTAGTATTGATAATAAAACTCAAGAAAAATTAGATGAAGTTCCCTTGGGTAGGGTGTCATCACATGAAATCGATGAAATTGGTTTTATTAATTGCCGTCCTAATACAAAATGTAAGGAAATTAATATAACAAATATAATACGAGTATAATCCCTGACAACTATGCTTGATAACTTAAATCTGAAATGTTTTTTTATTCTATTTTTTGTTTTTTTTTAGATATTGTTGTATTCGATAATTCTTACAGCTACTTAAAATCAAAAAAAATAAGATATAATGTAGATTTAACAAGAGGTTTAGAAGAAATCGAACAAATAAGTGAAGAAATGTTAACAACACAATTATAAAAAAAATTATGTGATATAAAATTTATTAAAAAAAACTTTCTTTATTTCGTTTTTTAATTGAGAATTGTTAATTTAAAAAAAAAAGCAAAAAAATAATGTAAATATAAAATAAATGGTTGGTTGTGTTTTATCCATTAAAGTAAAATAAAACTGTTAAATAAATATAAAAAACTTTTGTTAAAAATATAAAAAAAATTATAAAAGAAAAATTAAGTTACAAAATTTAATTTGTGTTTTTTTTTTTATAAATTTTAGAGATAAAATTTGAGCAGAATTTCTAGTTCTAAATCCTTCTTTATACCTTCTTAAATTCAAAAAAAAAAAAAAACTAGGGAACTACTTTAGTTCTAACATTGTTTTTTACTTGTTGAAATGCAGTCTTATCTGCATTTCACAAACTCTAAATTTAATTTGTAGATGCATTTAAAAGTCCTCCGTTATATTTTTTTCCAAATATCCTAATCGAGAAAACTTAATTGACATTTAAGAAAAATTTTCATATCAATTCCAACTAACACAACTCCAATTTAGTTCAAATGAATGCATGGAATATATTTGTAGTCAATGAGGAAGTTCAATTACACCTCAAATCTCATATAATATGATGATAAACTTTTGCAAAATATTCAATTTATATTAATTGTTCAAGATAAATGAAATTAAAATGCATGATCTTAGAATAAATATATTTTTTTTGAAACAATAATTTCTATTTTTAAAAAAGATGTTTGGTGCATTTTTCTAATAATAAAAATAACAAATATGTATATGAATATAGTTTAGATTCTTTTTTCTAATATAAATTTGATTACTTTTATTTTTTACAACACCAGAACTATAATAAAAAAAATTTATTTTAAAAATCCATAATAAGTTAACCTAAAAAGAATAAAAATTACGTCAAAGTAAAAAACTAAAGCTTTACAAATAACTTTCTCTCTAAACAATACTTTAATTATTCAATTTTTTTTGTATATATTCAAAACATTTTAACATTCTAATGGTCTTAATATTTTTCTGTACAAATTAATTTGGACCTTGATTTGAGCCCATTTGATAGCCTTGATTAGCACCAGTACTAACTTGACCCATTTGCATTGGTGAATGAATCATTTGGCCAGGACTGTTTCCCATTTGCACGGGTGATGGTGCAATCTTTAATAAAGAAACAAAATTAAAGTATGAAAGAAAACTAAAGGCTAAATATTTAAAAGAATTTTTTTTTTAAACATACCGCATTTCCACCCATTGTTCCACCTATTTGATTTGATTGTGCTGGAGGTGGAGCATCATTTGGTAAAACTAAATTCGTTAATAAATCACGTACGGCCGGAAATAATGTACATTCACCATGCTGATTATGCTGAACTGCATATTCAGCATATCTTCTTAATTGCATATTAACTGCATTTGAATTTAATGAAAGAACTTCACGACGTTCAGCTAATTGCGTCAAATTTGAAGAAATATCGTAAAGCATTGGTAAAACTAAATTTGGACTATCTTTCCAATCCATATTTGGATACGGTATTCTTGTTATTTGTAACTGAAATATATAAATTTTATACATCGTTGCAAAAAAAAAAAAATTTATGAAATTATATTAAACTTACAAAGAATAATATTTTTGGTCGACCAAACATTACAGCAGGATGTCCTATAGGAACAATTTGGCCCGCTGACGGTGGTACACGCATACAAAATTGCACAGCCCATTTCATTCCTTGAGTTAGTTCAGGCATTAATTCAAGCCTCATAATTTGAATAAAATCTTTTAAAACAGCTGGTGGAACATTTACAGCTTTACAGAAACCAGCAACAGCGTTCGGACGATATGGTGGTAAAGCAACCCTATGTTCAAAAAATTGCTCTAAAATTTGTATATCCTCGGGATTCCACTGTGTAGGTGGTTTTCCATCGGGTGATGGTGCAGGAGGCATAATTGGACTTACTTTTAAATGTAGTGTTTGCATGTGGGTTGGATTCAAGTGAACCTGATATTGAAGGTTATTTATTTTGAAAAGTACGACACCCGGCTCGTTGGAATTAATAGCAGTTAACTAAAAAAAAGTTCATTTAAAAATGAATGTAAAAACTAATATTAAGATTACTAACCGCATCTTCTTGATTTATATTCCTTTGTAATAATCTTCTAATGAAAGCACAACCTAAAAACCTTTCTAAGGGGCTCATATCAGCGCAACTGACATCTTTATTTGGATGAGGACTTGGTCTACATAAAGTCTCTAAAGCTTCATGTGTTAATAAAGTTGGAACGGCTCCAGCCCATGATCTTGCTGGCAGAACTCTATTAAAGTGCGGAGTGGGAATAGCTTGAGATTTATTATCTGGCGATTGACCAGGTCGTGGTGATGGTCTTGGCATACTGGGTGAACCAGGCCAATTTGAAGTTGCTGGAGACATAGCTGCAAATGGACTATCTGTATGACCCTGCATGTAAGATAAACTATTAGGACCAGGAGAATGTGCTGTCATCGGACTTGGATTTAATGGAGAAGCTGGCATTAAACCTCCTCCTGGGGAAGGATGTGGCATATGTGGTGCAGGTGGTGAAGTCATACTATTAAAGCTAGGATGGTTTGACTGGTTGCCACCGCCAACTGAACCCGGTCCTGTTGAGCTGCCTCCCCCCATAGGATGTGCGGGGCTTGCGGGAGTATGAGGATTTGATATAGATGGTGGGGTAATAGGGGCGGGAAACCTTAGTCCTCCATCACGTGGACTTTGAGGACCCCTCATACTTGAGTTTAGGAAAGGTGAAGATCCCCCTGGGTTATGTGATTCTTCCATTTGCATTGGGGATGGCGGATTGTCATCTTCACTCTGCGAACGACGACGATATACTGCGTTTTCATCAACATATTTTGATAGAAATCCTTTTAACCCTTGAGTAGGAGTGAATTCATCTACAACATGACTTCGATCAAAGCGATGATAAGCGCCATCTCTAATTGACACTAGTCCACCAGCTCTAAAGCGTATTTCCAAACAATAAAAACCTTGATAAGCTAAACGTAGTAAAGTTGGGGATTGTGGAAGAATGCAAAATGATAAAACCGGAATATTAGGTCTCTGTAAATATACGAAAACATATTAAATATGAATTTGATCTTGGGTTTTGAACAATAAAATACATACGGGTACACCCAATTGTGGTATTTGTGGTAGTTTTGCAATGGAACTGAGTGGTTGATAAGTTTCATGTAGTATGTTTACAATAGTTGCTAAATTATAATGCCGATTAAGATGAGATTGAAGTTGTTCCCTCATCATTGAATGGGCATTTATAGCAGAAGCTCCTCCGACAAAAGTCTAAAATAAATAATTTTAAAGAAAAATATCACACGTATTGTTAAATAAAGCTTACCATTTTAAAACCACGAGTTTGAGAAGACCAATAAATATTACAAATTACTTCTTTATTTGGACCATAGCTCATTAATAGGTTCTTATAACTATAAGATTTTATATTTACCATGTTATGAAGGTTATATTTTTCTGCAAGGGCAATAAAAATGGTGATGGTTGATAATCATTGAGTAGAAGTGAAAAATTCTTACCAGTTTTATATAAAGCAGCAAAATCATACACTAAAGTATACAAAAACACAATTTTAGCCCAGTCTTTAAGAAGTTCATCGACGGTTTTTGCACACCCATTTGTTGACTGGTCATATGTCAAATAAACAGTTCTTCGACATCCCTGTTCTTTATGATTTGTTGATGGTAGAGGTGTGCTATAAAAAACAAATTCAACCATCCATGTTCGATTTTGGTTAATCTTATTGATTTGAGATCTAATTGACACAGAAAGTAAACGTTTAAGCATATCTTTCCAGACATGTTTTTCTATTGGTGGAATCGACGTTTGAATATTCTAATTGAACAAAGTTTAAAATTAATACAATTATCTAAGGTCAAACTTTTTTAATTTTTATACCTTTTGAGAAGCTGACGTTTGCTCAGCTGGCAAAGGAAACTCTGTCGGCAATGGCAATGTCAAAAGTTTTAACACTAGTGATGTGGCATTTGATTCTATTTGCAAACCACTATGTGGTATACCTCGTTTTGAAAATTCTCTAGCCAGAGTTAAAAATGGAATTTTTTCATCACACATCGCAACAACATGAGCAAGCTCTGGAATAATATATGCAGGAAAGATTGTTTTAGCTTGCTTAGAGGGTGGGCCTGAATCAGCCGAATTTGATTTTCTTTTATGTAGGGGTAAATCTGTGATATCGTTCATTAAACTTTTCAATTCGTAAATTTTATATGAAAAACTTTTACCTTCTATATAAGTTCCAGGTCCGTGGGTGGCTACAAAAGTGTCCAATTCAATCAATTGCAAAATTTCAACATACATTTTTGGAACCTCGCCTGAACTTGTGTTAGGAGTTCGGTTTGACTTTTCTTCGGCTTGTTCAGTTTCAGATGCCAGTGTTTTAATAAATCCCAAATGAAATATATATTCCATTTCACTAGGAGAATTGTCTTTTTCTTTTAATTGTACCACCTTGAATAAAGAAAGAAATATTTAAGTCTCAATTCATTAAACTTATTTTTGAAAATTTTATATGAAAGTACCAAAATAACATTTGGATGTCGGTGAAGTTTAACAAATATTTTTTGCCTTCCTTGTTGTAATAAAGAATTGTTTGGTGTATTCAAAAAAGTAAGATTTTCAACAGCTACTGCTGGCAGATGTTGAAGTGTCTTTTCACATCGTTTATGCGTGATCCAAAACCTTTTAATAAAATTTTATTCTGTTATAAGTTTTGATTAAAAATAAAATTTTTACCTTAATTCAGAAACTAACTGCGGTAATTTCGAACGATTACCGTTTAAAGATGACTGAAGTTCTGTCATTATTGGACAGTCTAAATGCTTTGGAACGTGACTTTTTAGCATGCCGGTATGAGTATCAACAGTTATATGTATTTGTTCTGCTCGTAAACAAGGGTTTAAAACTGGAATCGTTAGAACAGCAGGCGTCCCTTGTAAATGAACTGCAAAAAAGTCATTTTTTTTTTTAATATTTTAAAATGCCTTGCGTTGAAATCTACACTTACAGTCGACATCTTTAAGAAATGCTTGAAATTCTAATTTTAAATCATTTAAACGTCCTACTGATCGAATATAGACGGTGTGGACCAATAAACGTTCCATAGATAGATGATCAGAACGGACAGCTCGATCAGCTACTTCAGAGGATTCTTTTGCTCCTATAGATGGTATATGAATGACCGCTAAAGGTCGCGCCGTTTCATTTGGATCCGTTGATATTGTCAATCTGTATCCTAACTCTGATTTTGGATCATGCTTCGATAATTCCCTCCAATAAGACACTGTTAATTTGGATCCGGGCACATATTCATCTATTTTTATGTTATCATCTAGCCTATCCATTATTAAGCGAAGAGTTTGAGTGTATAAAACTTCCAGTTGCAAAGATTGACAAAAGTAATGTAAACAGTTATATACTTCTTCTAAAGCGTTTTGATTTTCAACTAGTCGAGATTGTATTAATTGGTGAATATAATTTACTTGCAAAGAATGAATTAATGCTTTCCCATCTGAAAAAAAAAAAAGTTAAATAAAATACGCATGATATAAAAATTCATTTAGTGGCAACAAATGGTCATTTGAAGCAATATTGAATTGTGACAAAAAGATACTTTTTACAAATGTTTTTAAATAAAAAACGCAGCTCTATGAACTACAATTTCGTTTATGTTTAACTTTAAAATTCTTTATCTTTTCGTTTTCAAATTTATTGAATTTCATCTATTCTTGTACATTACCTCCAGTCTCCTTGTCTTCTACCAAAATATCAATGTCTAACAAACGCCATGGTACAGTTCCTCCATCTCCCATAACAGTCAAAGATACTTCAAATTCGTGATCAACATGAAATGTTACTCTACCACTTTTTATTTTGAATTTCCTCATTTGAGGGAATAACTTTTTCGTAACTAAACGATGACGAATAACTTGATTCAACCTTAATAAGGTTTGTTTCTTTTCTAAAACAGTAATTGGATCCGATGGAACAAGTTTTTCCCTTATTATCGCTGGCAAACGATTATAAGTTCCAGTTGTCAATATTTCAATTGCAGCAGGAATTTGAAAATTAGGAAGACGTGCACGAACTAAAGTTTCTCTCGACATGCGAGCTAACATGTCAGCAGTTTCAATAAAAAGCATAGATTGCTTGTCTAAAAAGCTCATTATATGCTAAAATATATGAAAATGATTTTATTGAAATTGTATTCGAAATATAAGTTTTACCGCAGATTTATCAACTTTCGAAGCAGAATTGGCCCATTTAACTAAAGCTAAAAGTCGTATAAATAATTGCCGAGTTCTTGCAGAAAAATTATAGATTTCAATTTTTCGTTCCATATCAGTTTTTCGCGGCAGCCTGAAAATTTTTGAGATTATATCATTTTAAAAAAGAATCTTTTAAACAAAACTTTACAATTCTGCTAGCACGGTTAAATCATGATACGTTTTTTGTATGATGAAATCAATCAACATAGCCAATGAGATCGAATTACTTCTTGGAACTTCCTTTATAAAGCCACCAGCATTGGCAGCAACAAGCTCGTGTGGTTGGGGTGGCATTTTTAAAATGCCACTTTTCTAATTAATACTTAGTTTTTGCAATTAAAATTTATATTTTTTTTTTAAATAAAGGAACAAAAATAGTATATACTTTGTACGCCACAAAAATTCTAAATAAAGTTTGCATTTGACAGCTATGTTGACAGCAAGTAAGGATGCTCTATTATGCCTCTGTCGCGATGTGATTAGAGTTAGTACTTGTTGATGAAAATATTGAATGCAAATGTAGAAGAAAACTGGCAATTCAATAAAATTATAATATGCATTCATTTAAAAATTATTTGTAGAATACGATAAGAGATTTTGATACAAAAAATCTTTTTTTTGTGTTAATAATTGAAACCTCCATTAAAAATTTCCACTAAGTGTTTTTACATTGATTAAACTGTCATAATTATATCTGGCTATAAACAAGTGATTGAGGGACGTAATGAAATCCTCTTTAACTGGAAAGATGACTTTACACATTTATATGAAGATAAATAAGAAATCTTTTTAATTTATCGTATAAATTGCATTTTAAAAATATGTAACTGAAGTTCAATACAGAAAACCAATCCATTTTAAAAATTTTTTCAACTACTTCGGGAAAAGTAGTTGCGAGTCTTGCCTTTTACAACATTTGTACACATAATAAAATACAACACAATTATCATCCACACAAGACATTAAATAAAATTATATTTCACTGCTATTTTAAATTTTATATATATGTATATATCTCTTAATGTTCATCTTATTACTTTTATTAAAGTAAAACGGCAATTCTCATATTGTATCCGAATTGTAAAACTTATCGATATAAAACAAACGTGCTAAAGTATTTAATTTATTTATCGACAAAATATGACAACATTTATTTGACAGCTTAATTTCATATGGCAGATGACTAAAGAGTCCAAAACCAGTCCAGACTTCCAGAGTGGACTTATAATTTTTCCTAATTTTTTTCAAGAGATCGGTAAACATGGCTGGAAATATAAATCAAAGACCATCTAAAGGATTTCAACCAGATTCTGATGTGCATATCACTTTTGAAGATCAACAGAAAATAAACAAATTTGCTAAACATAATGCTCGATTAGAAGATTACAAAATTGAATTGGATTTAAATAAAAATATTTTGCAAAATTTGGAAGATGGAAGTGAAGAATTAGAACTTTGTGATAGTGATGAGGTTGTACCTTTTCTATTTGGTGAAATTTTTATTTGGAACAATTTATCTGTAACACAAGAACTTTTGGAAGCGGAAAAGAAAAAAACTAAACAAGAAATGAATGAGATCGAATTAAAATGTCAGGAACTTACCAAAGTAATGGCTGAATTAAAAGCTCAACTTTACAGCCGTTTCGGAAGTAACATTTCTCTTGAAAATGATTAAAAATTGATAAATTACATTTTTGGAAAAAAATAAAAATTTTTCGTGACGTTTAAATTGATTTTTAATTCAAGTACAAAATTTTTTTATACCTATGGTGTTAGACGAGCATATGGTTATTTTATTACACTTTTTTCTGTCATGGTTTGAAAACTTTAATTAAATCTAATATTTTGATTAAACAGAGATCATAAACAAACTTATACCCTTTGATTGTAACCTAAAAACGGTTTTTGGTTATAATTTCAAAGGCGATATTAATAATGAGTGGTGAAAATAAATGAATCTTCTAAATTTACATATGTACTTATGTATGTTTATAATTTTTATAATGAACGTAGGAAACAATATTATGGTGACCATTTTTCAAGAAATAGAAAGGGCAATTAACCCATGAAATAATTGGAATAAGCAATAAAAGACAAGAATTAACGTACAATGTTGTTTTATAGGAGTATTATACATACATACATATGTACATTTTTATGATTCAATATGATTTTTATAATTCGATGATACTCCCGAAGCAGGGTCATAGATTGGTCCAAACGGGGCTCCACACGCGACTCATACATATTAATACAAATCGCTCTTTCCTAAAATGTTATGTATGTACATACTCGAACCAAAACGGTAGAATGGGTCTAAAAAGGTATATATGTATTTGTATATACTAAATTTCTGTATTTTCGCCATGCTTTTGGAATTACATATTAAATCTCAGGGAATGTGCTTTTGAAATTGTCAAAAATAGTTATATTCTCCTTTAGGTATAAGAGAAGAGCAAAAGTGGAAAACCAAAACGACGAGCTTTTCCCGTATTAAACGCAGAACAACTGCGGAACGAAAAAGTGAGCTGTTCGGTATTTCGCATATAATGTTACGCAAACATGGAAACAGATAATGTAATTAAGGCTATTTTACAACCGAGGTTGAAATTCGCGATGGGAACGCTTGATTTTTTCCGACAGTCCTATTTTTTTACAAAATTGGTAAATTCCCTTTCTAGTAAAATACCATTATAATGATACTTTTGAAATAAAAATATTTTGATAAGTACATAATTATAACAAAAATTTTAGTCAACCGTGCTGCTACTAGACACACCTATACATACGTACAAACATATGTATTTCCTTACATGAGGTACAAGTTAATACTGTGCATTGAAGATTTTATGCAAGTTTCATGAAAAAATCGCAGGGGGATATTTGTTCAACTTTTGAAGAAAAACAAAGAGCATTTCCGACAAAAACAAATGGATATGCAGCAGTGTTCAGCACATACATACATACTTACATTTTTCTTGATTTTTTAGGGATAATAAAAAATATTTACTTAGTTGGCTTTGCTTAATTTTATAAAAATTTAATATCAATAAAAATTCATTTTGAAAAATTCAAGGAAGCTACGAAGAGTAATTTTAAGTGGAGCTTTTAAATAAAAAAGTACATTAAAATAAGCACAGACGTGCGGATGCAATCAGTTAATCAAAAACCTGAACTGGTTACAAATATGATAAAAGAAGCTGAAAAGTACACTTTAGTGGGAATCGACATTGACGCTACTGGCCGTCGTTTAATAAATGAAATCGTCCAACTTTCCGCATATAATCCCAAATCACAGTATTCGCAATATATAATGCCATACATGAATCTTAATGCAGCTGCAAGGCAAAGGCACCAACTGAGAGTCGTAACAATTGGATATTACAGAATGTTGCAATGCACCAGAACTAATAAAATAGTTAAATCAAAGTCTGAAATTGCCTCATTAAACGATTTCTTAGACTGGCTACATGTGTTAGTAAAAACTGATCCAAATTCAAGCGGTGTAATATTAATATACCACGAGGAAAGGAAATTTGTGCCATATATGATTATTGAAGCTATAAAGAGATATAACTTAACAGAAAGATTTTTGACTATTGTAAAAGCTTTTGCCAATGGGTATGAATTTGCTAAATTAAAATGCTCCGGTAATCTTAAAATATATTCAATTCGGAGGTTATCTAAAACATTGTTAAATAAAAATGAAATTATATATCACTCCAACTACAGAAATTCTCCAAAACAAAGTAGGAATGGCAAAAAACTTTACTTTGAAGGATGCGCAAGCGTACGGGCTAAACTAGCTTTCGAAATATATCAATATTTAGCCGTTTCGAACTGCCCTGGAGGGGAGCGTAACTTACAAAAACATAATGTATCAGATGATGATATAAACGGTATTTTGGAATTTAATGTTAACGCTTTACAAGCCATGCTAAAATATATAGTAGATATTGCAAAACCAATAACCGATGATTTTAATGAACTCGATAAAGAAAAAAAGAGTCTTGACCGTCAAAACTCGTTCCGTCCTGTTTTTTTAAGATATTTTGAAGCGGCGTTATATCACAGAGTAAGGGCTGTTAAATTTAGAATAATATTATCCGAAAGTGGCTATGATTATGAAAATTTAAAAGCTATTTGGACTGAAAAAAGAAGAGAAGGCTTAACAGAAGTTATTCAGACAATTCCTTTACTAAAAAATGCGGAGAAGGATGAGTTAATTAATTTGCTTGATGCTCATTATGATCCAACAAAGCCGCCCATGCAACCTCCAGCTAGAAAACATAAAAGTCACCACCGAAAATTTAAAGATAAAAGAAATTTAAAAATTTCTGATGCTCGACTTAATCATAGCAAAGAAAATAAGAGAAATACAAAAGAAAATGAAGAACTTCTTACATCACCTCAGGTTTAAAATGACTAATATTTGATATAATTTAATTTTTATTTAAAACTATACTTGAAACAATAGTTTTGATTTTTGAAGCTCTACAATACACAATATCACATACATATGTATGTATGTAGCTTATATTAAATTATTGTTCCTATATGGTGTTATTTTGACTTTGTTCTAAAAATTGTTGTATCTTTAACATTTGAAATATAAATTCGAAATGTAGTGGGTTTTGGTGTCTTTTTGTCCAAATAATGGATCATATCAGATCAGAATTATTGACATATCAGGGCTTATGTAAAATGCGGAAATAGCAAGACAAACTAAAGGTGTTTTTTATAAGTACTAGTATGGTTCTAGCTTGTAGTACGTCCGAAAATTAACACTACATACACTGAAACTATTGGCTGTAATAAAGTGCGTACGGAAATTGAATCTGTAATAAAATTTTAAAGGAAATTACTTTAATAATTTTGCTACGAATATTATAACCATGACAATTTAGACCCAGCTAATCGCTGAGTCAAATTACCAGCAAAAATTAACTGTCGCCATTATTTAACATAATATCTGATAGAACTAGATTCCATCAACGATACCTGATATCAAGTCGGGTTTACAAAAACAACTTGTGTAAACCAATATAAACTACTTGTTTTTTTCTTTCCTTTATTGTGGGGTTTTTTATTTTCTTTCTGCTACCAGAATAGCAGTGAGTGATAGAATTGATATTTTTGAATTGCTATTAGAAATGATGAACATATGTATGTACATATCTTTTTTAAAGGTTTATAGGTTCATTTCTGGCATACAGGGTATCTAGCATATAAATTGGAGAAAAAATCAGGGTTAAATTATTAATATTGACATTTAACATTGCTAATGCAATTTTCAAATATAACAAGTAAATTTAATTTTTTCTCCTAAATGACTCTGTGGTTATCGAACAGAAACTAATGTGTTAAACGAATTTGTTCATTTAATAATTTCGAAAGAAATCATTGCTGTCAATTTTTCGATATTTAAAAACGTCATTGAAAATATCTGGCTGACGAAAATTGACGACGAGACATTTTTCCGTTTAATTTTAAGATTTTTCTTGAGCTAAATAATAAAATTAATAATGTTTTTAATATAATTTAAGTTGTAAAAGTCCATGTTTCAATACCTATTCTATGGTTTTTCAAAATATTTATGTACATACATTATAAATAACAAAAGTAAGGAAACATTGATCCAAAAAGATAATAAAACATGGCAAGCCCACGTACAAGAAGAGTTTTACAAGAGTTAAGACCAAGTGACGACAACGGGGTAAGTAAAATTTAGATATTTCATCTAATTGTTATAGCCGTGCTTAAGTATAGTTTATCATTAGTTACTTAAAAGCTAACATAGAAAACATAGAAAATAGTGTAAGTAATGAAAGTGAAAGTTTTTTTTTAATTGAAAAAAACGAAATGTTTTCTTTGATTTTTATTATAGAGATGTTTTGAATGTGGAGCACATAATCCACAATGGGTTTCTGTAACCTATGGTATTTGGATATGCCTTGAATGTTCAGGAAAACATCGTGGCCTTGGTGTTCATTTATCTTTTGTTAGGTCAGTTACAATGGATAAATGGAAAGATATTGAATTAGAAAAAATGAAAGTTGGTGGTAATAAAAAAGCAAAAGATTTTTTTGAAGATCAACCAGATTGGAATGAACGTTTACCAATACAACAAAAATATAATACAAAAGGTGCAGCATTATATCGTGATAAAATCTCAACCTTAGCTCAAGGAAAAACTTGGAATTTGAAGGAAGCTGAAAAACGTGTGTCATCTGGTACCAATTTTCAAACATCCTCTAGTACAACATCGTTAAGTTCCATGAATTCAAAATCTTATGGTGGAAATGGCGGAATATCACATTCTAAAAGCAGTGGGTCTATTTCTAATTCCCAGGCCTATTCAGGAGGTTATCAAAATGACGGTAATAATTATTCAGACGGCGGATACCAGAATTTTAATAGCCAAGAATTCCGTGATACAAAGGAAGCTTTTTTTATGAAAAGACAAGAAGAAAACTCAATGAGACCTGAGTAAGTAGCTATAAATATATTTTATCTGGGAATATAAACATGAGAATAATATAAATCTATTTTTAATAATTTTACTAATATTGAATTGAAAGATTTTTTAAAAGTGGATAAGATATTGAAATCTTTTTCTATTTTATCTCTATTTTAAGTAACATTCCACCAAATCAAGGCGGGAAATATTCTGGTTTCGGATACACAAAAGAACCTCCACCTAAAAGTCAATCACAAGAAATTATTGATACCACTTTATCTTCCTTGGCATCTGTAAGTTTTTTATTTTTATACTTACTAAAGCTTTGAAATTTTGTTTTGACTAATTATAATTTAGGGTTGGAGTTTATTGTCCTCTGGAGCCTCGAAAATAGCCCTAACTGCAAAAGAAAAAGCTTCGGCTTATGGAAACCTGGCAAGTTCGAAAGTAAGAAATCACTCATTTCTTGGTATTAGATATTTAGATATTCGTACTTTTTTTTGTGATTTTGATTTTTAATTTTTTTATTTTATAATTTATTAAGATTAAAGATGGAAATTTGATTGATCCACAGTTAGTGAACACTGTGTCAGATTCAGTTAGTTCATTTGCTAGTAAGGTGTGTTCGTTTTTTTTTTTATTATTTTTTTTATTGCTTTAGTTTTAATTTAAAGTACAATAATGTGTGGTATAGAATTTAAGGATAAGATTACAAAATTAATCATTTATCCGGCTTTAGATTTATATTATATTATGTTAATTATTAATAGATTTTATATTAATATGTATTCGTAAAAATTTAGGTTGGTGATATTGGAAAACGCGGATGGGGAAGTTTAGGAGGAAGTGCTGCAACATCACCAACTGGAAGTGGAGGTGGATATTCAGGTTTCAATGAAAGCTACCAAAATAGCGATAATAATGTTTATCAAAGCGTTCAATCTAATAGTAAATTATCATCACCAAAGTCCTGTAATAATGATAATAATGATTGGGGTTGGAATGATGAATATTGTAGTGGTTATTCTTACCAAAATGATAAATTTACAAAATATGTCGGTGATGTAAAACCAATAGCAATAGAAGAGGAATGGCAGGGTTTTGACACAAATAAATTAGATGAACAGCAAATAACGCGTCAACAAAATAACAAAATTTCATCAGAATATAAAACGAAAAGCAGTATGAAATTACCACAAAAGGATAGCTTAGAAGGATTAGATATTAGAACAGCAAAAAGTAAAACATCAACAGGAAAAATTAATAAACTTGAGGATGATGCATGGAATTTGTTAAACGAATAAAAAAATACTAAAAAATGTATGAAGAAAATATTAAATATGTATTTATGTTTTCCTTAATTTTTTTAACACCATAAATTTTTATTAATTTAGTGGTTATAGATAAATTTTTTACATGTTTTTGTTGAATTTTAAATTCCAAATGTATAACATTTTATTTTTATATACTCTTATCAAAACTATAGAAAAATTTCAAATCCTATTTTAATTTTTTAAGAAAACTTTTTTTTATTTTTTTTTTTCCTGATTTTTTGTTTTAATTGATGGAAAAAAGGTTTAGTAAACGTGTTAATATGAATGTAAAATATGAGACGATTAAATAAAATATATTTAAATTTTAATAAAAAAAAAAATTTCAAATTTTAAATTTCTTAAATTGGGAAATAAAAAGAATTCCGAAAACAATTATTTTCTCACATTACATAAATTTTGATTTTTATATTTGGACCAGTATCTTTATGTTTTTTTTTAATAAATATTTAATACTAAACTGAGACAATCAAAGCTCTAAAGAATTAAAGATTTTTAAATAGTTGAATTTGCAGATTAACTATGTATATATAATTGTATATTCATTAAAAATTGTATATGCATATGAACATATCATACAACCGCAATTTCAGTTTTCCTTTAAGATGCATACATATTTTTAAATTAGCGTTTTGTGAATTATGCACTTATTAATTTTTATTTAAGATCTGTTTAAGTTATTACTATATTTTATTGTGTATATCAGTTTTAATTTTTATATTACATTAATTTAACTTCTTTATAAAAAATATCAAGATCAGTTTCTTGCCGTCCCCGAAGTGCTATTAGATCCAGTAGCTACACATAATTCAGTAGCATGTGTGCCTCCTTCTCTAGGCACATTCTAAAAAGAATATATAGATTAGAATTATTGATTTTGAGATTATATTATGTATAAAATACCTTAACATGAATATGGCTTTTAAGCATAGCTGTTCTTAATACAAGCATTTTCGTTCTTCTTTGATATTCCTTACCAATTTCTATAGCTTTTCGAAAGGTCGTACTTCTTTGATCAACATCTTTTGCATATAATATTTTATTATGAGAATCAATTCTTGCTTGTATTTGCCCATCTAGAATCAATTGCATTAATTCATTCTCTAATGCAGAAACAGTTCTATTGAAAGCAGTTGCCATTTTATTCATATCAGCGGATAAATATGGACTAAAGTATTGAATCAATGCTCGATTTCTGATTTTGGTGTATAATGTGTTAACATGTGGTGCTATATATTTATCTAATAAAAGATTATCGCGTATTTCATCAAGTAACTTCAAACATGATGCATATTTTGATTCATAAAATTTAAAAATAATATCGCGTAATTGAGGCTCTAGTTCTAAAAATAGCTTGAAAGAACTACTTGAAATTACATGTTTTTGAAGCTCTTGACGATCAAAAGTAGCCAAAGCACAAAGACCACCATAATTTGCTATATTACTTGTAGACATCATTTCTGGGAAGTCACAATGGTCAAAATTAGCTTGCAAAAATTGTTTTGCAGCCATCTTATATTTTTTTGTTGCTAATTCGGCAAGGCCAGCCGCACATTTTAATTTGGTAAGAACAGCACCTTCAGCAAAATCTGGTGTGCTGACTGCTTTTGAAACATAACTTAATACATGCGACCAATTTTGTAAGTATATTGATACTTTGATTACGTTTAAACACATGTTTACGACATGCTTTCCACTTGTACAATAATCTCTTGCTCTTGAATAGCATTTCAAAGCATTTGCTAAATCACCGCAACTTAAATAATGGTCACCAAGATCATCGTGACCACGACGAATACTTTCCTTTATAGAGTTTGACTTATAGTTTTTCAAATCACTATCCAATTTTTCTAATTTCAATGCAGCCTTTTTGCTTTTGGTTTCAACCCAAATTGGGTCAAATGCCGGTAATTCTTGTGGACTTGTCTGAGCTGCAACATCGGGAAGTTGAGCTCCAGCTGTTATATCGGCTAATTTCTTATGCAATAACTGGTATAAGTTTACATTATACGTTGTTGATACATAACTAATGGCCATTTTAAGCGCTTCGAGACGTAGAGAAGGACAAACATCAGCTATAAATATAAGGCGTTCTAATTTAGCTAAACCTGTAAAAGAATTGGCATAGCTTTCTAAATCGATAGTTGGATTTTCAACAATAAATGTTTCTTCTTCATTGTTTTCGTTATCTTCTGGCTGTAAATCAACTTGCATTGGCTCGATGGCATTCTGTATCAACATCTATACATTAAAAAAGTTATAATAGTTCCTATTAATTTTTACTTACTTGTATTGCTGGAGGAAATGGTGTAACTGGCATATTCACTATAAAATAGAGAATTTGATTTTAGACCTTTTAAAATATTTAGTTAAATTCTTATAAATTTTCAAAAACTTTCGTATGTTCTTAAATTTTTTGAGAATTTGGTACTCAGCACAATTGACAGTTGCGTGTTAAGCAAACAAAAAAATGTGGCCAGATAATCGCTATAATAATCTAGTGCAGTTACATTACGAACTCAATACAATTTTAACAGCACATTAAAATGACACTTATTTTCCAAAAATGAAAATTTTGATATCCATAAAAAGACTAGTATGCATATCAAAACATCAGGTCTCTACGCAGGATAAAAACCAAAAAATAACTTAGCTACATTTTAATTCCTGACATTTCGTTCTGATTGTTCAAAAATTTTACTCTGCTGAGAAAGCTACGCCGCATGTAAAAGAAAATTACAAAAACAAGTCTCATATAAAAATTTGGATACATTTTGATGTAAATGAAATAGAAGAAAGATAATTTTGAAAAAACAAAAATTATTTAGCCATGTTTTGTTTTTTACGTTTTTTTTTTCGGTAGATGGAAGTAGTATTTCTAATTTACAACAAATTATTGTGTTTTTTCAAAGTTATTTTGACATTTCATTATAATAAAATAAAAATTATAAATTAAATCAAAAATATTATAATTTTTAATATTTAAAAATAAAAATTATAAAACTAATTAAAATGTCTTCATTTACAAAATACGCATATGAGCATATTGGTAGCGAGAACACATAATTGGAACGAACGCAAATAATAAAAGGCTGCGTTTTTTTTGTATTACTTATTAGTTTGGTAACTATTGTTTTAGATGGCACCACATTATAAAAATCCGAAAATCGGAGAAGAAATGTCAACCTCATTTTTATTTTATTTATAAAGAAACACAGCTTAGCTATAAAAAGTTATAAATATCAGTAATCCCTAAGAAAGACGTGTAAATTATAATCAGCTTTATTTGTGTAAAATTTCTTTTTGAAATTTTAAATTTTTACTTTAATATCAAAGCGTTCTAAATAGTTTCAAAAAAAAAATTGTTGTATAAAAAAGGAAAATATTTAGAAAAATTTAAGGTGAGTTAGTGGTTCACACACTTTGTTTACAAATTCTTAAAGTATGCTATAAATTTATTAAAGTTCGGAAATAAAATTAATTAATTTTGTAAAAAACTTAAGAATTTGAGATAATAATTTACATACATATCGTATAAATGTTTTAATGATAATTTATTGTCGAAGGAGGAAAAACATTAAATTAGATTTTTAATCCGTTTTTTCACAGCAAAAGCTTTGTAAATTACGTGGCCAGACCACCTGTGACTAAGTATTATTAAATGCGGTAAAATAAAAGTGATAGATATATATTTCATAAGTAAATATAAAATTCAATCATTATACATTGTCGCTCAGGTTTTCTTATTAGAACTATTGAGGATTACTTAACTTTATATATGCATGTAGGCTGAATTTTACTCGTGGATAATTACATTTTTAACTTGAATTTTTTTTTTTGAGTTTTCTGATGCCACTAAGGTCCACATCATTATTCAATGTTTTTTTTGAAATTTTTTTTTTTTTTTTTTCAGATTTTTTTTTTAAATTTAAGGAATTTGTGTGTAATTTTCAATTCCCATTTGATTTTTCTTTTTTTTTAGGCATTCACGAATAAGTTTCAACCAAAATGGTTGAATTAATTAAAATAACTGCGATTTGTGTATTGCTGATTGGATCTGTTTTGTGCCTGCCGGTTCAACAAGTGAAAAAAAGTGAAGAGGAGCATCAAAATGAAACATCAGCAGATGACATTGAGGTAAATTTTAATATAATATACAAATTAATATTCTTCAATTATCTAATAACAAGTTACTATATCTCTTAGAGTGTATTGGAATACGAAAGGTATTTGAAAGAAGTTGTGCAAGCGTTAGAAAGTGATCAAGAGTTTAGGAAAAAATTAGATAAAGCACCAGAAGCAGATATAAGAGTAAAATAAAAAAAACTATTTCATTTCAATTAAAATTAATTTTTCTTTCTAATTTTCGTTTTAAAATAAGAGTGGGAAAATAGCTCAAGAATTAGAATATGTTAGTCATCATGTACGCTCAAAATTGGATGAAATCAAACGAAAAGAATTAGAAAGATTAAGAGCTCTAGCAACTAAACAGGTAAAGTATAATGACTATTAAATGTATTTCATCAATTTAATTTTAAATATGTTTAGTTTGAATTATCAAATGACATTGATAGAAATCATTTAAAAGTACCAGAACATGTGGACCATAGGAATGAACATACATTTGAAATTGAGGATTTAAGAAAATTAATTTTTAAAACGACACAGGATTTAGCAGAGGTAGATAAACAAAGGCGAGAAGAATTTAAACAATATGAAATGCAAAAAGAATTTGAAAAGCAATCTGTTTTAAATGAACTTGAAGAAGAAGATAGAAAGAAATATGAAGAAGAAATCAGAAAACAGAAAGAAAAACATGATAAGCACGAAAAAATACATCATCCCGGTAATAGGGCTCAATTGGAAGAGGTTTGGGAGAAACAGGATCACATGGAAGGAGTTGACTTTGATCCAAAAACATTCTTTATGATGCATGGTAAGATATATTTTTTAATAAAGAATGTTAGTTATTTTTTTTTCATTTTCAAATTGAAATTCAGATGTTGATAGTAATAGAGTATGGGACCAAAATGAGCTTAAAGCACTTTTTGTAAGAGAGTTAGATAAATTATACCAATCTGGACTGCCGGAAGATGATATGAGAGAAAGAGCTGAAGAAATGGAGAGGATGAGAGAGCATGTCTTTGCGCAAACAGATACAAATCGGGATGGACTTATTAGTTTTGAAGAGTTTTTGGCGCAAACAAAAAAGTCTGAGTTTCAGAAGGATCCGGAATGGGATACTGTAGATAAAGTACCACAGTTTACCCATGAAGAATATTTAGAATTTGAAAGAAGACGCCAAGAAGAAATCCAGCGCTTGATTGCGCAAGGACAAGTTAGTATTACATAAAATACTATACATAAGTACATGTATTTATAATTTTTAAATTAACTTATTTTTTTAAGTTGCCACCACATCCGAATCTTCCACATGGGTATCATCCAAGGCCATATCCGCAAGGCCAGCCCCCAATTAACCAGGGATATCAACAAGGTCATCCGCAACAAATGCAGATTCCTCAACCAGTTCAATTTAATCCAAATCAGCAATATGTTGTTCAAAATCAACCACAACAATTTGCTCAGCCAAATCAACAATTTGCTCAGCCAAATCAGCAATTTGCTCAGCCAAATCAACAATTTGTTCAGCAAAATCCACAATTTCCCCAGCAGGGCCAGCAGCAATATCCTCAACAAAATCAGCAATTTAACCAACCACAAGCACAACAACAAGGTCAACAGTTTGCCCAGCAATATAATCCAAATGCTGGACAACAACCTCAGCAACAAAATCAGCAACCACAACAACAGCAAAACCAACAACCATCCTCACAACAAAATCAGCAACCACAACAACAACAATATAAACAACCACCTCAGCAACAAAATCAACAACCACAACAACAACAATATCAACAACCACCTCAGCAACAGCCTCAATACCAATCACCGCCACAACAACCCCAACAAAATCAACAAGCAGGAAGGCAGAATTAACTTTTCAATTAAAAATTTTTATCTGAGATTTAGATAAAAATTTAATTAATATTGCATTTGTTTTTTATTTAAAGGAAATACTGTTGTAAATACATTTTGGTTTCTAATAAAAATTAATTTCGATAAGATTGCCATTTTTACTGAGTCACATAAACTTAGTCCGCGCGGGGCTAATATAGAATTTATTTATACATACATAATTTACATAATTATAAAAGAAACAGAAAAAACTTTAGATATAAACATTTCATATCTTAACTCTAAGATTCAATATTTACTATTCATTCATACCTGGTAACTATTATAATTAACGTAATAAGAAATAGTATGAAAAAATTTTTTATAGTTTTTTTTTCATATTTATCATTTTTTTTATATTATTAAAGAAAGGAAAAAAGAAATTTCAATGAGAATATAATTTTATTGATATTTTTTTCATATTAAATATACTTTGAAAGAAAACGAGAAAAAATATAGTTGACCGTGTCAACTCTGTGTTATCCGGACGAATTTGTTATCGTATGTTTGCAGCTGCTCCAACCAGTACGCCGATCATATCCAATTTAAATACGGTTCTGGCATTATTAATCTTTAAATGATAATAAATCGTTTGTGAAAATTTGGTGAACTTAGCTCAATTAGTTTTTGAGTTATCGTTGGAACGGACAGGCAGACAAAGCTAAATCGACTCTGAATTCGACGCTGATCAAAAACATACACTTCAGTTTATATCTCAGACCATTATTTCTTAGCATTACGGTATTAGCGTTTTATTTGGAAAACTTATTTTTTTTCCCAAATTTAATAACAAGAAAATGGAAGAAATATGAAAGAAATATAAAAAAGAGTACATTAAGGACTTATTTTAAAAAGAGGTCATGAGTCTTGCTTTATTTTTCGTATGAAAGTGGTCTAATTTTGAAAAGGGTAACAACCCTTAATACGTCTTGGACGTATGATTGACATGCGATTCACTCCATACCCACAAGATGGCCAATGAAACGTATTTCAACCATTCATAAAAGAGTCGTCTTGCAAACATACCTCATTTTACATTCATCCTACACAAGCGCCACCAGCTTGAAGAGTGAACAACTATTATTTAAAATTTAAAGCGTAGCAAAATCGCTTAGTACTAGAATTATTAAGTATATTTTAAATAAGTAATTACTTAATATCTGTTGCAAATTGAAGGAGTTTATTAAATAATATTTCGTTGCACAATTTAATTTTCGCATTTTAAAAAGGTGAAATTAATGAGGTTGGTGCTGTATGGCTTTCCATTTATCATATACATACATATATATGTATGTAATATGTGTGCACATATTCGGTGTTATTGAAGATTATAATGTTCGGTCCATGGCTTATACATACATAATATAAATAAGATCCGGCTTAACGAATTATTGGACAGAAAGGCTTTATTACAGAACCAGCATCACTTGTCAGCCTACACACAAACATACATATAATTACGATATTGTTTAAAGGCAAGTCAGTATATAAAAGGAAAAAAGATATACATACATACGTTGGCATAGCAATTATGAAAATTTAACAATTTTATTTGGACTACACAAGAACAATTGCCAATTAATCAACTAAATAAACAGTTGTCTACCTACCTACAAGTAATAAAATCAGATTTCAAATAGAAATCTCAAATATGGGATAATATTCATTTGTATCTTCATTAAGAGGTATATGTGTATCATACGATGTAAGTAAATTGAATGAATTGGTTTGAATGAATTAATAGAAAAATCGAGATGGATATGTCTATATATAAAATGAAATTAATGTTATTAAAGCAAAATTACGAGTTATTAATATACAATATTCATTTTTGTGTTTAATTATACAAAAATGGAATTTTGAAACTAAAATTTGTTTAAATAAAAGCCAATTGACTGAAATTAATTTTTGCCGCGGTTTATTTGAAAAAGATTAAAAGGAAGAGAAATACATAAATTGAACTTTTTTTGTTGTAGTTTAGTTTAGATTGATTCCAATCGTATTAAACAAAAAGCCTTGGCTTGCCTTAAACGAATAAAGTCCTAGCAATTAAAATTAAAATTAAAAGGTTTCAAAGGGTAGAGACTCTGAAAAACTTTTAAACGTACCGGTAATTTAAATGTCTTTTAAAATAATACAAAAAAATCAAGTTTTATTGTTATTTAAATTTAACTTTATTGTAATATTTCAATTAAATTATTCTTTTTAATATACTTAATATAAATAGTGTTTTTTTTAATTTTTATTTTTTTTTTGTTTTTTTTTTTTCTGTTCTTGTAGAGTATATAATTTGAAAATAAAAATGATACTACGTGGCGGCGCAAGGTATTTAATGTTATTTTTTTTTATCTATATTTTAATTATTTTTATTAATTTAAATCTTTTTTACCATGTTTTACAATATTTTCAATATTTGGTTTTGTTATTTTTCTATAAATATTCATGTTTGCCTTTAAAAAAAGGGTAGTTATACTTTCTATGAATAGGTTTATATACTATATTTATATATATTGAATATAAATATTTGTTAATATTATTATATTAATTTTATACTATATATAGAATACATTTTATACTCGTACATATATGTACATTATTAAACTATATTGTACGTTCTATTTGTTTATTTTTTATGAATTTATATAATTATGGATTTCCATAATAGTATCATTTTTAAATTTTTTACTACAACTGCTACAATAATCTTCTTATTTTTTTTGTGTTTTTTTTTTTTGTTAATTTTTTAAAACTTGTTACAATTTTTTTAATATTCCCTAGTTTTTTTTTTCTTTTTTTTTTGGTTTGCTTAAAAGCAGATAACATGTTCTTTGTCTTAACTAAATTTTTTTTTGAATTGATTATTAGTAATTTTTTTATTTTATACATTATCAGTTTTTTTTTGTAAGTATTTTTTTTTTTAATTTTTATTTTATAAATAAAAAGTCAATTTTTTTCCCAGATTTTATACTGAATTTTTTAACTTTTCACAAAAAAAATGTGTAAAGTTTTTTATTTTTATGTAAAAAAAATCTGGATTTGTTTTTTAAATTTTTCAATTTATTTTTTCTTTTTTTTTTTAACTATATAATTATTATCATATATATTATATCGATTTTTTTTTCTTTTGTAGATAATATGAATTTAATAATATAGTTTATTTAATAATATATCATTTTTTTTATTTACAGTATAAATTCGCTCATTGAAAATTTTTTTATTTATTTAATTTTTTTTTAATTAAAATTTTTTTTTTTTAATTTTCTTATCCTCATTCCTTTATTTTCAAATTTAATTTTATTTTTAATTTGAATACATATATTGTAAATATATATATAAGTATATATTTATAAAAGATTATGTTACATAAATAAATATTTCAGTACATTATATATTTTCGTATTTTAATGTCATGTATTTACGTGTAATATATGGGCATCTTTATCAAAATGCGGATCTAATGCCAATTTGATTTATTCAGCAAAATATACAATTTCAATTGTTGAGTAAGTCAAATTGACTTTTATAGATCTGCATTTTGGTGGACACCCGTGCACATTTATGTTTTATATTAGGTATATACTTTGTAATTAAAAAGAAGTGTACACGTAGATTTATTATTATTTATTATTATTATTATTATTATTATTATTATTATTGTTATTATTATTATTATTATTATTATTATTATTATTATTATTATTATTATTATTATTATTATTACTTATTATTATTATTATTATTATTATTATTATTATTATTATTTTTATTATTTTACATTATATTTAATGATTTTGATTTTATTGAATTAGTATAAGTAGAAAAAAAATTTTTTTTTTAATTTCGGTTTTTTATTAAGGATATAAAATAAGAAAAAATTTTATTAAAATAAATTTCGAGTAAAGTTAACAATTTACTAAATTTTTTTATATGTATGGTTGTATTCCGTATTGTAAAAGAACCGCAATTTTTGACGATGTATTATGTTCCGCATTGTATCTTAAAAAAAAATCCGGATTGTATGAAATATGTTTTTGAAAAACTAAGAGAAAAAAAATTGTGCACCTAAAAAAAATTCTGGATTCTATTTGTAAACTTTTGACGATAAATATTATGTACAAATTTAAATTTACATAGCGCTATAACTTTTGGCTTTTTGAGTTGACTTTGGTATAGAAAATTTGTAATAGGCTCGAAATTTTAAGGAATTATAACAATAGAATGCTTACGGAAAAAGGAATGTCAACGTTAAAAAATCAAAATTTGTAACTCGAAATGTATAAAAAAAAATTTGTTTTCGTTCGATAATTCAATGAGATTGTATTTATAATTTTGAATTTAAATACAGTTTTAAAGCGGTCTCAAAATTTATAATAAAAGATATAAAAGATTTTGAAAAGTGATGTTTAACATTTTCTTAAAGTAATTTTAATACATGTTTTAATAAAATTAATTTTTGATAAATTATATAAAATAATTTATATAATCTATTACAATATATTATATAAATTATTTTATATAATTGTATAAATACAATAATAATTATATTTAATTAAATAATATAATTATATAATTTATATAATATATAATGATTTTATATATTATATAATAAAATATAGAAACGAACAAAGTAATTTCTATTTTAGTATAGTAATTAAAGTAAAACAAGTAATCAGTTGGAAAAGGATATCAGATAAAATGATTTAGTTTACATTTATGTCTTAATTATAACATACATGTGTTCGTATGGATATTGACAATAATAAATTATAAGATTTCTTTTGTTTTCTTTAATTTAAATTTAATACCGACAAGTATGCCTTTTATTAAAATATTATTTGTTTTAATTTCTTAGTCAACATTTTTTCATTTATTTCAACATTTATATTGTATTTTATTGAAAATTTTAGTTTAACTGCTATATATATATATATATATATATTATTTTTATTTTACTTTTAAATATGAATCCGTTCGTATTTCAAATTTACTTTGTATTCATTTTTATGTACGATATAGTTATGCAAAATCTTTCAGTTTTTTTTTTTGTTTTGGTTTTTAATAATTAAACAATTAAATCTTTGGTGAAGTTTTGTGAAAAATGAAGATAA